ATCCATTAGATGGTTTAGATGTTTTAAAGAGCAGTATATGTTTTAAAAATTAATAAACTAGTAATATAACAAGTACCAAGCTGAGTAATAAAAGAATTATGATACTTGATACTTGATACTTGATACTTGACTTGTACTTATCTTATACAATAAAGTTGAGTTTTCTCCCTTCTTAGAGTGTCCAACTCAGCATCATAGGGTGGGGCAAAAAAAGCCACGTCAGCATGCTTAACAACAACTTTCGGGGCGTTGAAAAATCGATTAGATTATAAGTTTGGGTATCTTAGTTAACTTGACCTAAGAATGAATTTTGGAACAAAGGCCCAGAACTTGAATGAGCCCACTGGCTATTACTTTATTCATCCCACCAACTCTGAATCCATGGCGGCTTAACGGTGTCTGCTTGCATTCAATCAACTAACGTTGTGTTTATGCCATCGAACCACTCATCATACTACATCGCATTCAACACAGCCTCCTTCCTCCATAGTTACGAATCTGCAGCTATGAAAAAGGGCCTTCGATTCAATGAAATTCGTCACTTCTCTCTCTTTTTTTCACTTCTCTCTCTTAACCATTAGGAAACATATTGAGGTAAAGAAGATATTTGTAAGTCTCAGTTTAGTTTATTTACTTACATAAGTTTATTACTGCTAGAATAACTTTGATGTCTTGATGCAGTCATGCATAAGCATTTGTTCTTATAGAGTCCTTGATTTGAATGAGGAGTGTGGAAGTGTTTATAGTTGCTTAACCCTCTCTCTTCTTGGACCAGTGAGTGTTGTGGTTTACTTTTCTGATCGTAAGCTTTTCAAAGGTGTGTTGTGATCTCAAGTTAAGAAGCATGTTGGTAAAGTTTTAGACTGTGATTTTTAGGTTGGATTTTACTTGAAATTTGACACGAGTCTGCTGCTTTATAGCTGAGTAGTTAATGTTGGGTTTGCTTTATGAATGAATTGCAAAAGTAAATTTCATAACTTTTATTTCGCTCTGCTCAGTTTATTTTGCATAATGATAACTCAGTTTCATAGGTCCTGCAAGAGCTTCAAAGGTCATGCCTGATGATTCCTAAGGAGAAAATCAATGAGCTGTCGAGAATGGCACTCTCAAGAAAAGGTGAATTCTTTTCCTTTCATGTTCTACTCTACTTTTTTTTTAACATCAGCATTTGATTTATGATTACATGTACAACATATGCTATCTTAGGGACATGGACAACGACGGCGAGATGGAGCGTGAAATACATAGTGGTGAAGTTTCTCATGCCTAGGCTGTAGCAAAATCTTTTGGAAAACCATGTTCCAAAAGCAATGTTATTATTCTTACCATTGTAAATTGACCCATCTGATTATCATTGTTTTCTTATTCATCACATCCAACTGAGTTTCTCTGTACCGACAAGGAATTCTAACTGATAACGGATACATCTATGATTTTTATGATAAATATAGTTTCTTTAAATTAATACAAAAATATTTATGATGTTACAAAAATATTTATGATGTTAAATAAAACCAGCATAAATTCAAATAGGAAAATTAATCAAAAATTTAATATATTTAAAATATAAAATATTATAGTTGAATTCAGAGAAATAGATAGAATCCAATATATCTAAATGATAACTAAATCGACTGTAAAAACAATAAAACAGACTAAATTGAACATATCTAAAATTATTTTTATAATTAAAGTAGTATAATATTATAATATAAATTAGACATACAAACTATAAATTAATTTAAAAATTAAACTAAATATCAATCAATTATTATTGTATAGTTATTTTATAAATACACATGCCCGTAGCAGTAAGATGGAGAAAGAAGATGAAACCATGAAGAATAATATTCTCAAAGGTATGTTAGTTTCATTTTAAATAGTATTGCTAATGATGATTGAACACGGTACCACCAAAGAGTGCCATCAAAGGATGCCACCAAAGGATGCCATCAAGGGATGCCACCAAAGGGTGCCACCAAGGGATACCACCAAAAGATGCCATCAAGGGGTGTCATCCAAAGGGTGTGATCCTATCGTTACCGAAGGGATACGAGTGCATCGTGATCCAAGAGGTACGAACGTATCGTGATCCAAGAGGTACGAACGTGTCGTGACCCAAGAGGTACGAATGTGTCGTGACCCAAGAGGTACGAACGTGTCGTGACCCAAGAGGTACGAACGTGTCGTGACCCAAGAGGTACGAACGTGTCGTGACCCAAGAGGTGCAAACGTATCGGGACTGAAAGGGTGCGAACGTGTTGGGACCGAAAGGGTGCGAACGTGTCAGGACCGAAAGGGTGCGAACGTGTCGGGACCGAAAGGGTGCGAACGGTTCGGGACCGAAAGGGTGCGAACGGTTCGGGACCGAAAGGGTGCGAACGGTTCGGGACCGAAAGGGTGCGAACGGTTCAGGACCGAAAGGGTGCGAACGGTTCGGGACCGAAAGGGTGCGAACGGTTCGGGACCGAAAGGGTGGTGATGATCGCGACACCTAGGTGATTTTCCCGTGGGTATAAATATTTATAAAATAAATATATTATAATATTTGATTGATATTTACTTTAACTTTTATATTAATGTATAGTTTTTATGTATAATTATATTAATAATATTATATTATTTTAGTTATATATAATTTTAGATATATTATAATACTTGATTGATATTTACTTTAACTTTTATATTAATTTATAGTTTTTATGTATAATTATATTGATAATATTATATTATTTTAGTTATATATAATTTTAGATATATTATATTTAGTTACTTTATCATTTGGATATATATATATATATATATATATATATATATATATATATATATATATATATATATATATATATTGGATTCTATCTATTTCTCTGAATTCAACTATAATTTTTTTTTAATCTAAATATCTTAAATTTTTGATTAATTATTTTATTTACATTTATGTTGGTTGTTATCTTAGAAATATAAGTATATCTTAGTAAGATTATATATTTTAATATTTTTTGTGCTTAGAACGAAAAAAATAAAAACTAAAGTGTCTGATTCTAAATTACATACATAAGTAATAATAAATTTTCAGAAGCTTATGAAAACATATCAATATTTACAATAATTAAATAGTTTAGAAATTTTAAATAATTTATGCCTTAGATTGATTGGATGGTAAAATGGAATTTATTTTAAATAATTTTTAAAATAAAGAATTATGATTTTCTTAAGTATTTTGATTATGGTTATATTAAATTACACATACATAAAAACAGAAAATTAAACATCAAAAGAGTTATTAAGAAAACATATAATATTAACTATTAAAATATAATATATCTACCTCGTTAAATTATATAGTGTTATGATATTTTAAAAGAATTGTAGTTATCTGATCAAAAGATGTTTACCGTTAAATTTATTTTTAGTTTTGTTTTTAATATCTCTTAAAATATGCAGTAAATATGTGATTGTTTTTGAGAAATTATATTATATAAGTAAAATATAATTTATATTTTTTGCTGTAACGGTAAGATATTATAATCAAATAAATATACTAATTATAATTTTTTTTGTCAATTAAACATATATTAGTTTATGTTACTTAATTATTTTATGTAATCATCTAATAAAATAGATAGATATATACAAAAACTAATTACTTTGAAAATATATATTTTATTGTTTAAATTATTTTTTTAAGAAAAAAGATTTATTTTTCTAATATCAAGATTATTTGTATGAAATTTTTTTATGAAAACACATTATATACAAATATTTTTTCATCTAAGAAGATATAGATATAAAGTATAATTACTTAAAAAGTATAATTTATCTTATTTAAAAATATATTTAAGTTAAATATTACTATTTTGTAAACTTTCTTTTTTTTATGAAACCATATTATATATATACTTATTTTTCGTTTTTAAATGATTTTGTAAATTTTAGAAATATTTCCTTTTTGTTTTATATCGTTATTTGAAAGATTTTAAAAAGGAAATAATAATATTTAAATATATTTTTAATTCATTAGGGGTATCATAGTAATCAACCAGCGTGAGAGTTAACGTGAGCGCGACACCTAAGAAAGTGACTTCTCAAATAATATTATAGAGATATTGATTTATCATCAAATACAACGGCGGTTAAGTTATAAATTAACAATATTTATATTTTATATAATTATCAAAATATTAAAATCATATCTTCATGATAAATATAAAATTTTATTCAAAAGACTGCACTATTATTTTTTAAAAAAAATTAAAGAAAATATTTTTTGGAAACTTTATAATATAAATATTTCAGTATTTCAGTTATTTTAATTTAAAATTTTAATCGAATATTTTATTTTTATATTTATATAGTTTTTGGAAAAAAATATTTTTATCCTCCTGCAACCGCAAACGCTAGCTGGAACCATTTTTGAATTTTAGAGATTCAGAGGGATTTGAAGCGGTTTATAGCATTTTTTGTGATTGTTGGAAAACGTCAACAACCGCTATCAACCGCAAAAGTTACGTGTGCGGGTGATGGAGGGAGAACCAGTCATGCCCTAAATATTGAGATTGGATATGGTACAAATTGTTTTAGAATTTAAAATTTCAGATTCATTCGAATATCCATTTAAGTTCGGATTCGGTTCTGGTAAGACTCAAAATACTGTAAAGCAAGATACATTCGATACATGTTAGTTTATGATCGGTTCGGATACATTGTTATCAGATCTGGTTTGGTTCGAATTTTAGGGTTCAGATTAGTTTTCCAGCCCTACAAGAAACTAGAAACATGAAGACTAAAATAAGAAAAAATAGTTAGGGGGCACAATCGAAAAAAGATATGATACTTTGGGGGATTTAGTGTTATTAATGGCAAAATAAAGGAGTGAACGTTAAAAGTGTATTAAAGCTTCTTTTTCAAGTTCTAATCGTCTTTTAACCCCAACCTTGAGAACTAGGGTTTCTGATAGGTTCATCAGATTACAAGATCATCACTGGCCCGTGGGATCCTAAATGTGTGAGCTTGACGAACAGATTCACAATCACACACTAGCTGAGGAGTATCTCGTATCATCAACGAACAGATCGTGAAGTCACAGGGCTTTGATTTTGATATCTCCAAGTTGCGTTACCTTTTTGATTTCCAGCCTCCGTTTCTCGATGAAGTCTATCCACTTGGCAAACCAGATACTGGCTGCAGGGTCTATTTCGGTAGATTGGCTGCGAAAGCCTTTGTGATTTACAACAAAAGAGAGGTGATGATCTTTCACTATAGTTTACTCTTTGGTTCAGTGTTTTTCAATAATTGTGAATTTTTATTTGGTTTCTGTTTCTGTGTTTTGAAATTAGGGGACTAGTTTTGAGTTCGTTGAGGTTGAGAAATGATAGAGGTTTACATTATTTATTGACAAATGATACAAAATATATGTTTCAGCATCTGTTGAATAAAATGATGTTGTTATTAATTTAGTTAACATCATTTCAATGAAATTGATACATAACTATATCAGTTTACAACATTTCATAAAAAATGATGCAAAATATAAGCATAACTATATAAATTTTTCATTAGTATCACTTAGAAAAATGATACAAAATAGGGGTTTTTGCAAATTTGACTCAAAACTCATAGTCAAACACAAAACTAACTTCTTCTTTTGACTCATCTTGTTTTTGTCCTATCCACCCCACATCTTCATTTTATTAACGAAAATGCCATTAAATTTTTTTTTTTACTTTTTTTCGAAAATGGTCTTTTTACTCTCTCAACCTCATCATCTTCAAGTATTTACAACATTGCCATGAATACTCCCAACAACCTTGTACAACCCAACAACCTTGTACAACCAAGGTTTGAAGCTTTTAATGCACTTAAAATCGATACTCATACTCTCTTTCTCAATTGTTATGAACTAAAAACAACATCTCCTTCACTTTGTCTCCATATTCATG